ACTGTGAAACTCACAAAAAAACTTAAAAGGCTCTATCTTGAGTCAGTGTTTGGTTTACACTAACGTCCACATTTTAAGGAGTGGTGTATTATATGTTTGCACGTTATATTATTTATATTATTGTGTAGTATTTCTTTGATGTTCTTGCTATTTGAATAGATAATAATTGATGGTTCCACTCTCGTCTGAATTTTAGTGGTAGAAATGAACTGTCAGATTTAATGTGTTCTTGTTTGGCCTGTGTTTTGACCTGTTTTAGGGCTATATTCTTTAATATTATTAAGTTATTTTAACAAGCCAATGGTAGCTCCACCAACCTTTAATTTTAAGTGGAGTGAATCCATATTGGATTATCTCTTCTAGGTCTCATCATTGACCATATATACCCATACCTAACAGTCTGGAGCCCTTTCAGATTTCTTTAAATCATTAGTGGTCTCCCAGATTATTTAACTGAACTTTAACACTATCCTTATACTGTAAGGCTGACCTCTTTGGAATCAGGAATGACTAGTGGTTATTGATGTAATTCATAGACCTCTTTAATCGTAAACCTTTTGGAGACCTAAATGATTAGTTGTTATTGGTCTAATTCTAATTGGCTTGTGACCTTTCCTAACGTTACCTCAGTGGTTACTGGCCTCAGTCGGACTCTAATCCTCAGTTTAACTTTAAATGTTGTTTATCTTTTTATCTCATGCATCCTCTTTTTATTTAGGTTTCAATATATTTGGGAACTGTTCCCTAAACAAAGAAATATTAAACTATCATCTATATTAAGACCTATGCCAGTACAACTTCATGATTCTTTGAGTTATGATTATAGTCTCCTAACCTAACGGTATACTGGGGTGCATGGACAGCCCTTGGCAGCCCACTCTAGGCCCCGTGGTTCCAAACTTCTTTTATTTAACAGTTATGGAGGCCACTGAGCCCCTGGGAACACTTAAAGCTTTAAAAATATTTTATACCACCCATGTTGTGATCTATGCCTCTCCAATGTTTGATTACAGGGGTCTACAGGGAGTTTTTATTTATGGTTTTTATTCTGACATGCAGTGTAAATTGTGAGAACTTATACACAGGTATGTGCCTTTCTTTTTCTCCCTTTGAAAATACTTTATTGCAATGTTTCCTTCCAAAATAAGTGATAGGGTATGGTAGAGGAAAGGCCATTAGGATTGTGAATAAGGAGACAGTGCATCTTTACTGCAAGATCTGGGCTAGAATTAAGTAATATAATATTTTTATGGATTCTATCATTGGAGTACATCTTATTCCATTTTTTGTCTACTTCTGTTAATATTTAAGTTTTCAGTTGTTCAATTTACTTGTGGTGGATTTGTGCCTTTCTTAACAATGTCCAATCGCTATAATTTGCCACATGTGGACTCCAATCAAGTTCTAGACATCTCACAGATAAATGATAAACAGGATGCACCTGACCACAGTTAAGAGTTCCATAGCAAGGGGTCTGAATACTTCAGTAAATGAGAGATTTCATTACTTTATGATTTATAATAATTGTGCAAAGAATCATGGGTTACTGAGTGTAGACTCATTGGCAATTGTATCCATTTAAAGTTAAATCCACAGCACAATGAAGTGCTCAAAAAGTGAATGGGGTCTGAATACTGTCTAAAGTCAATAAAATGTATACGTATGGCGTCCATAAAACAGAAAAAGGCAGTCATCGTTATATCACGAGGTGCTTGGATTTTATAGGAGCTTTATAGAATGGCTTTTGTGTTTCACATCTAATACGCCTGCCAAGGATTTTCCAGTTCGTTACAAAATAAAACAGGCTTTGTGGTTCTGAAGGTCTTCCTGGGAATGCACAGTATATGGCTGTGACAAGGCTGTCTTAAGTTTGCTGCTCTAATTGTGTAATTGTTGCACATTGTACTAGGCTACTTTCTGCTTGCAGGCTAATGCACAATACATGATTTGTACTCCTCGTGACAATATACAGTATATATTTGTTATATGTGTGTATGAAGATGAACAGAAAGAATTTGTCTGCTCATTTTAATAGCAATGACACATGCTTGTTCCATGTAAAAAATCCCTACGGCCTCTTCAATGGCTTAAAGGTCCAGTATATAAGATTTAGGAGGATCTATAGGCAGAAATGCAATATGATATTCATAGGTATATTTTCATTCTTGTACAATCTCCTGAAAATAAAGATTGCTGTGTTTTTGTTACCTTAGAACAGGGGTCAGCAACTATTTTTGGCCAGAAAAGAAAAGAAAGTCTGTCTGGAGCCGCAAATCATGTTTGAGCCATATAATGCTAATTTCTCACTGCAGATGAAGCATATGGCTAAGCCAGCAGCATTGGAGGTGAAAGCAAAATAACCTCTCCACACACTAATAAATTCTCTGTTTTCTTTTAATATATGTATACATAATTTTGGGGGGCTGGGGGGCGTCACACACAGCAAAGGGCCACAGGTCGGAGTCAAACCCAAGCTAGAGAGACCCAAGACTAGTAGCCACAGCTATTAAGGTCTGACAAAATATAAAGGAAAAGGCTCCAGGCGAGGACATAACGTATAACACAGTTTAGTTGATGAAATGTAAAAAAAAAAAAAGAAAAAGAAAAAAGAATCACTCTAGGCCAACATCAATGATAAATGAAAATGACCATTAATCCCTTCCATATATTTTTAGGTCAAAGTCACTGGAGAGGAGCTAAAGACCCGCCCAGCTCCTACCCCTGCCTTAGAATGAGCTGTTTTTATCTACAGTAGAAGCCAGTCTTCTTATACAGAGTCCACAATGTTGAAGTCATGTTTCTACAGTAGCCCAGAATGGACAGACCAAACACTGACTCTAAATAGGGCAATTTGCAGGTTTTGCAATGATCGCAGTTTCCTCTACACGCTTGGTTGAGTCCTTTAAACCTGCAGGCAGCAACACTACAATATATTATCACCTTATAATGTTGATATGGTAAACTTGTTAGCAGACGCTTAGACATGTAACTACATTAGTATTTATTTGGAGACATGTTTCTGTCTCCAGTTTTAGTTTTTGCTTCGATCTCCACTAACTAAGAAAATGATCTGTCTCTTTAGCTGCTGAATGCTCCGCTATGCTCAGCAGCTATCACTAACTTGTCTGTCCGTCTGTCTGTTTGGCATTGGGCAGGTAGCTGCTGCTGCTGCAGCTGGAAATGACACTGATGATTGCAGTGAGAGCGAACCCAAACTATGAGGTTTGGGTTCAGCTTTAAATGTGTCAGACAAAGAGAGAAATACTTTGTAGACTCTGTTTAGTGTTTAACAAAGGATTTCAGAAACTCTTTCATTACTGCCCCAGGAGTCCCTGGTGTTTATGGGATGACTCATCCTCCTGCCAGCCCACGCAGCAGACATCTGTAACACAGAATTGATCTGACTGTCCCCTGGTTAGCCTGTCAATAGATCAAGGGTGAGCAGTGCTGGTGCTGAATCCCAGGTGTGCTCGAGGCTCAATCACAGATTACTACTCGTACAAATAAGCAGAAACACAGAACGAAAATGACTGCGCAGAGAGTCAGGAAGGCTTCAACTGGGTGACTCTAACCCCTGTCAACAAGCGTGTGCTGTTCTGAGTATTAATGGTCATGATCCTGAATCCTAATCAGCTTCAGAGATGCTTCAGCCCCACACTTATCACAGGTTGTAATTTACAACAAAGCTGGAACCCCGGCATAAACATACTCATAGTTATTATTAAAAATAGATTTTTAGACTGAAATGTAACATTGACCTAACTGGAAAATGTATTGTCAGTCGTATATTTAAAATAGAGACATACTTTGTGGTTAGCAACTTTAAAAAAAAACAAGAAAATACTATTTTTCTATCACTGTGTGTGGGCATTGGGCAGAAAAATAAGATCTAGCTCGAAGAATGTGAGCAGACCGCCCTCTGCTGATGGAGCTCATGCACTGCACATTATGAGGGCTCATGGTGGTATGCGCCAAGTGCCCCGTTTGCTTATGTATGGGGGTCTTATGCAGTAGCGGTTTTGGGCATGGGCGAAGCGGGCAGAAAGATTTTGTTCATGACACATGGGGGCGGCACGACGAGCGGTTTTCTATTATCTATCTGTTCTATCATATCACTGTGTTGGGAATTGGCAAATGGACGTCCCCTTCAGCTGCAAGCGCTCCTGCTTGCTGAGAAGGTGCCGTGAACAGAAGCTGTGTGAGAAGGGGAAGGGGGGGGCGGGGGGACAGTTCACCTCTGGGTCTCCCTATACTAATGGAACGGACAAAGGGGGGAACGGGGGATCCACTGTTAATCAGTCACACCTCGACTTTCTTCCAAATAACGCACATTTCATTCAGAATATAATAAATACAGGCCTATAGTTCATGCACATTTTTGTTTTTCTGAATTGTGTGAAATGGCTAAAAATAGGAAATACAAAACGATTATGTGGTCACCAAGGTTCTCTAAGTTCTGATAACTTCTTGTTGGAGGTGGAGATGTGTGCACCTTAAAAAGTCTGTTTCCTGTTCCAAGTGCAGTAGTTAAATCCAGTTGTTCTGATGAAGGATTTGTGCAATCGAGAAATATAATTCTCTGCTTCACTTATGTTGTTATAATAAAACTTAACAGTTTGTGCAGAATTTTGTGTTCTCGCCCAGGGTGTCATTCAAGATAGAACCGCCACTGGTCTTATGAATGGTGTTACTGCAAATTAAAGGCAGTGTGGTTTTAGGAACGTTTTTTACATGGAGGACAGGCTATGAGCATAACTGTCCCCTCTTTTGTGTAATTGAGTAAAACCGGCAGTTCAATTTAAATGTAAAACTTAAAATAAAATAGTCCTTTGTCCAATGTAGAGTCACATTTGAAGGTCGTCAGAGCCACAGTGCTACAGAGAGTGAAAACAAACCACTCTGTCCAAGAAGTTTACTTTGCTAGGCACGCTGGGTAATGTATTTCTTGCGCGTCTGGGAGCGTTTTGCAACCGGGTGAATGAGAACTACATTTCCCTTGGCTCTCCGCGCGGTTGGGTTTACATGCTGCTCTCCACGCAGTCCGTCCGTGCTGCTACAGCGATAAATGTGCTCCTTCAACGAGACATAGCCCGGGCACAGTCGCATGGCCCTCGGGATTAACGGGTGCCGTTGTGTCCTGACCTCAGCACGTAACTTCCAACGTAAGTACGGCCTGCTTTCTCTGCTCTGCTTCAGTTCGTTTTACTCACACAGTGACAGTGACAACTTATTTTCTTGTCTGTGAGGGTTAGCGGTGCAGCTAGCTAGCTAGCAGCCGACTAGCAGCCGACTAGCTAACGTCAGGCGTCAGAAGTTGGCAGCAGTTCGGAGTCTGGCCTTAACTAGTCCGTCTGCCAGTCAGTGTCTGAAGCAGACCCAATGTCCCTTTTAATAAGATAAAATCCTCTTTACTTCTCCTCCCGCCGGACAGTGCTTAACAACCCCTCTAAAAGCTGCCTGCTCCTTGTCCTCCAGACAAAACTGCCCAATGTCAACTAGCCTAAAATAGTGCCTGCGTAAAGCGCTCAGGAATTTAGCGTCAGACTTCCGGTTGGAACTTCTAAAATAAGTCGTAACAAATTCCCACAGTCTGTTTTTCCTACAGTACATATGAGGGCTTTTATTTTGAAGGTAAGTGTTCTGACTTCCTGACTTATTCTAGTGATTTCACGCTGCCCCTGCAGTTGTTGTTGGCTAGCTGCTAGCGGGTTCGCCAGAAGTTTTGTAACGTAACAGTAACGTTAAACCTGCCCTGTGTTTGAGTAACAGCCTGTGGACGCTAGCTGTCTTTTAAAACGTTGCTAATGAGAAAAATGAGGAACATTCTTGAACTTTCTGCGTGAAACTCACGCACTCGTTTGTTTTCGCTGCAGGTGCTGCATTTATGATTGTGCAATCATAACAAGGTATGTTCAGGACCTTTAATCTGTCATATAACCTGTGTGGTCAGTGAATGCAACAGAGATAACATTATACTAAGCAGGAAGGAATGTAGCTCATGGTGAGTTTGCTCAGGAAACTGTTAAAGATGACAGCTGGCTCGCTAGTATCTGCAGCATCATATACATGGCTGTAAGGGGAGGGGGTCTAAGGTGGTACTGGCTTCCACATTGTCAGCAAAGTAACGTCACTTTTGGAATAAGGGGGGAAAAAACCACTGAAATACGTTCAGTAAACATTACATGAATATAATGTCAACAGCAGGGGGAGACAATAGTTCATGAACGCTGGTCACAGTAAGCCATGTTTGTCTTCACAGCCTCAATTTGAACTTGAACTTGGAGTGTGTGCATGTCAGCACATTCAGTGTGTCACCCACCTAACACTGTGATTTAGACAAACACAAGAGACTGCAGTATTTCAAATGTAGTGATGTAATGTAATCCTCATCTAGAGGATTTAATGTTCATTGTCTAACAAGAGAAATGGATCATCTGAAATGTATCCAAGTTATGTAGGAAAGATACATCTCAATATATATTTGGGTGCTATGGACAGGATATTGTGGCACATTTGGGCTCCTCATGTAAAGAGTTAGTCTTTGTTTTGGTTTTCCAAAAACGCCCATTTGGTCTAGTTTCTCACCTTAATCAGTCAGAGTAAATCAAAAGCAATAATAAAGCTTTAACGATTAGTCAATTAATTGATTAGTGTAGCCACAGAAAATCAATTGGCAACTATTAGATAATCGGCTAATCATTCAGGTCATGTTTTATGCAAAAATGCCCCAAAATTGTTTCGTGAATGTCCGTATTGATGATGATGATAAATTACATATTTCACAATGGCTAGTTGCCACACTAAACAAGAATATAATCATTAATCAGTGTCTATTTTTATTTTTTTTGCTCTCTTCCTAGTCTGTGGTTACAGGTCACAGCAGCAGACCGGAGGAGAGAAAGGAGAAGAAGATGATAATGCAGCGCATCCTTAGTCACAGCACACTGCGGCGGGTGGCAGCAGTGCGCCCGTTGCTGGTGGGCGTCACCATCCCTGAGCCACCAGTAGTATTTTGTTGCTGTGTCCTCCGCCTGTCGCTGCCACCACCCACAGGCCGGCGCTGGCTGTCGACCTCAGCCTCCAGCAAGGTAGCACATCAGCCAAAACACCAGCCGCAGGAGGAGCCGCAGTCCAGCTCCGCACCTAAAACTCAGGAGGTCCAGAAAGGGGAAGCTGGGCCTGATGCTATAGAAGTGGACCCCCTGCAGGACAAGTCCATCGGTCTGGTCCAGAGGTTTAAGAGGACCTTCAAACAGTATGGGAAGGTTATGATCCCTCTACATCTGGTGACGTCCTCCATTTGGTTTGGAACCTTCTATTATGCTGCTATGAAGTGAGTCTTGTGTTCTAAGTTTACGGCACTGCAGTTGATCCCCATTGTAGTCCAGTTGACATTTGTTTGATTTATTATGTCTTTGATAATTCAAAATATGCATCAATATACGTTTATGGAAACACAACAAATGTTAAAATGTCCCTCTTCATGTGTTCCTTCCCTCAGAGGTGTGAATGTAGTGCCATTCCTGGAGATGATTGGTTTCCCAGAGTCACTAGTTGGCCTTTTGAGAGACTCCTCCAGTGGCTACGCTCTGACTGCGTACGCCATGTACAAGGTAATTTCATCCAGGATCCTCTGGGTGTTTATTGACTTAACAGTATTGCTCATTGATCAGCATCAAAACATTGAATAAAACATTCACACTGTCAAATTTCTTGACCTCTCACACAACTTGTATGTGTGTGTCCCATTTCCTCCGTCAGTGCAGACACAGAATATCTAGTGAAGTGATTTAAGAGTGATGGATTCATTTACCTCTGCTGACCAGCCAGTGTGTTTTTCTGTGTTTTCCTACAGATTGCCACCCCCGCTAGATACACAGTGACTCTGGGCGGCACGTCACTATCTGTTCAGTATCTCCGCAAGCACGGCTACTTATCCACGCCACCACCCGTTAAAGAATACTTTCAGGACAAAATGGAAGAGACAAAGGAGAAACTGACAGAAAAGATGGAGGAGACGAAGGAGAAATTTTCGGAGAAAATGGAGGAAACTAAAGAACGTCTCTCTGAGAAAATGGAGGAGACTAAGGACAAGCTTTCTGAGAAACTGCAGGAAACCAAAGACAGAGTCTCGGAGGGAAAAGCGTTTTTTAGAAAGAAAAACGAATAGCACATTTACATAGCACATTTACAGTCGGCACCGCTGAATAAATCCTTTTTTGATCTTGATAAGTAGTCAGTGAGTGTGGGGACTGTTGGGAAAGAAAAGAGAGACATTGTACTAGCCTTGTCCTGAAGTTCACCTCACACATTTCAAATATCACCTGTTGTCTATTTAAGTGTCAAATTCAGTCCCTAATTGTCCAACTGTGCCACGGTGCACCGTAAGTATAGACTAGACATCAGCTTAGCTGACTCCTGGCAGTGCTACATCCTGGCTGAGTCATCTCAGACTGGATTTACACAGGCTCAAGTGATCTGGACCTTAACTCTTGGTTGGCTGTAAGTTGCCTGTTTTAAAGAGAAGCTTTGAAGTCTGGCCTTTCAAAGGGATTTTGAAAAATCAATGTGCCTGTGTAAAACCAGCATCCATTAAAGATGTATGGGAGAAAGCAGTGCTAATCTTTGTGGTTGTTAGGAAAATAAAACTTGAAGCTCATGGTTACCTGTGTGTACTAGTCCATCAAAGCCTTTCTGAAGGCTGGGTGTCACCTTGTGTCTTTTCCAATGTAATGAGAAAGAAATTAAGTTTTTCTAATGAATTTCTATCCAAATAGCCCAAGCTAATATATTCCATTATTGTACCACTGTATTGACTCAAAGTTGTGTATAAAATGACCAAGTCAGATGATTGTGTGAAAGCTGTTCTTGAAGCAGTTTGGGTACGTATCAGTTTACATTTGATCATACATGTAAACATGCAGTGGGTACAACTGTCTGATCAGTAGTAACACACGGGCAGTGTGCCGCGTGAAATGTTGGGTGCTTTGGTAAATGGATGTGTTTTTGTCAAACAGATGTGTGGTTAAAACCACAATGGAATAAAGCGAAATGCTAATCATTCAAGTTTGCTGCATTTACAGGCTGTGTGAGACTACAACCAGTGAAAGGAAGACCTCCTGTGTTTGTACTTAGTGAGACTGTCATTTTTGTGTTCAACTTAAAAAAAAAAAAGTTTCATTCATAACCAATGTTAAACAGTCTTACTCGTGTACACACTTGAGGTTTTCCTGCTACTGCCTGACTTTGTCTGATATAACCAGAAGCTTATGGTGGCTAATGTTAGTATGTTAAAGGTAGATATTGTTATGTAATCAACATAAATTCAGACTTTATCACTTTTTGTGCTACTGTTGCACTACGTTTTAAAATGTACATAAATGTAAATGCTCCCTTTGTGAGGATAGTGGTTGCTGTTTAGCAAAAGGTACATAGCCAACTCTGAATCACCAGCAAAACAAAAACCAAGAGGCGTCCTAGACTTTCAGGCCTTACAGATTGAACCTTTAATACAGCTGTGGAAGTAAAAGTAGCAATAAACCCAAACATGTATTCCTGCATTGAATAACTTTCACAAGTACTGTGAGTGCTTATTATTAGCATAATTAAGTATGCTAAGTAAGTAAGCATTAAGTATTATTAGCCAAATACACAGTAATTAGTATTTGTGTATGAACAATGGGCCAGCTGATGACAAGTGACATAAAAGTGGTGTTAGTGACAAACAGACTGGAAATTAAAACCAGAGTCTGCACTGCAGCTGCACAGAGCATCAGTGTTTTAGTGTACAACGTGTGGAAAGCCCACTGTACACTACCTGCTCAACACCAAACCGCAGCTGGGTGTGGGAGTTTTTAGTTTGTTGTAGACTTCTGCCCCCAAGTGGTCACAAAACATCACTGCAGCTTGAAAGTATCAAGTGAAAAGTTCAGAAACAGTCCCTGTGAATGGTTCATCAGTAAATCATTAAAAACAAAGTATTATACACTATTAGAACTACTACTGCTCAGGAATATATAAAATAGTTACAATAGCCTTGATGAGCTGTAACAGTTAAATGCTACTCATACATTAATGGATCAGAATTAATAATTCAATTCTATAAACTGATCATATCCTGGACATAGATGCTATGGGCCCCTTGGTCCTGACCTCTGTGCCTGCTAGGTCAGTTCTACTCTTCATAAGGAGTACAATATTTGTTCCTGTAGTGGAGTAGAAGTATAAAGCATCATGAAATAGAAACACAATCGCTGTACCTGGAAATTGTACTAAAGGCAGCTTTAGTAGATTTTTACCACTTGGGGAAAGTGGGAAGAACTGACACTGTATTATCACCTTATAAAGCTGATACGGCTTATGTGTTAGCAAACTTTTACCTGTTTACCAGAGGTGTGGACTCTTGCCAGACTCAAGTCAAAAATCTGTTGGCTTTAGACTCAACCTGACAATCTAAAAGACTTGCAACTTGACTTGAATTTTCAAGTCAAGTTGCATGATACGTTGATTTCCCCAAACCTAAAGATTAAAAAGTAAGAAGTGATTTTCCCTTTGTTTCCTAAAACATGCAGGCTAACCTGACCTGTTTTAAGATTGCTCGACATTTGGTTGTGCCTTGGTGTTTGTAAATGTCCTATTGTCTCCGTGTTAGGTAGTTAAATCCAAATAAAGTCTTTACAATCAACCCTTGAAAATCTTGGACAAAAAGCAAATAAGGTGCCATTATTGCCACATTTTAGCTCAATACAAGATTTTAAGCTTTGCAGATTTTATGGATTTTTACTATGTAAAGCTTGTTTTTAAATGCTTAAAGTGACTGGCCCCTCAGCCTCTCTGCAAATACATCATGAGCCTGCAGCGCCGCAGCGGGTCCACCAGAGCAGCAGTTCCTTTCTGTAAAACATCTTTTGGTCTGACACCTTTTTCTGTCAGAGGAGCAAAGTCCTGGAACTCGCTGCCTAATCGCTTGAAATTTGTTCCTAATTTCATAACCTTTAAGAGAGCGTCCAAATCTTGGTTAACAAACTTGTACTCGTGAGTAGTTTTTAAATGTGTTGTCTTTAACTCTGTGTTTTATGTTCTGTTCTTTTTGCATTCTGTTTACTCTTTTTTTACCTTCCTGTTTTAACCTTTTGTTTTCATAAAAGCCCCTCTATGGACGGCTGTTGCAAATCAGCATCCGCTATAAACGCTATGATACTTGCATTGGATTACTGTCTGTCTATGTTGACTGTTATCTGCCCCTATCAAATAAACCATGAATAATAAATAACATCTAACATTAACGCTATTCATTCACAGCAAGTTGAGAGAACCATGAAGATCATTTCATACTGTTCATTCTGTTGTTATTATGGCATTACATTTGGTGACGAGCGCATTATGACTTGTTTAGGAATTGGAACTTCACTTGTGACTTGCAAATAATGACATGGTCCAACCCCCCTTTTTTACACATCCAGCAGACACGGCGACACATTTATCTGGAGTCTGGTTTGTGTCCACATGTCCAATGTCAGTCCAAAATTCAATCTCCTTTTATCCTTGTTTTGGTCACCAGCTCGCAGCGCGAAGAACAGTACTCGAGTACTTTCAACACCTCTCTGCTTCTATTTGAATGTATAACTAAAAGATCAACTTTTACTAATACTTTACATTCAGATGTAGTTAAAAAAAAAAAAAGAAGCATGTGCTCTCTGTTATTTCAGAATATATTTTCAGTCTCAGTGCTGAATCTTTGTTCTCCAGAGATAAAAGCACAGGTACACGCTAAGTAGCACAACAGGCGGGGAAGTGCACAGTGGGTAAAGGTCAAGATACACACCACTTACTAAAGAGTCAGTATGGCCTGACACTTAGCTTTCTTAGCTGTCAGCGTCCAGAAACACTAAACAGATCTAAACATCATGCTGTCAGACTCTGGACGTGCTCCAGCCTGCCTCCTTCATTAGGAATCTTATCTATATGTAAATATGATTCTATTGCTATGTGCTGATGGGAAGTGTGTGTGTGTGTGTGTGTGTGTGTGTGTGTGTAAGAGTTACAATGACCTCTGCTGTCCAAACTAATGAACAACTGTTTATGCAGTCCACGGCCCCCTCTCACAAGCACCTGTCTGTTCTCCCACAGGGAGTATGACACAGAGGACAGAGCGGCGCTGAGATTCCCGAAATCATTTCAGTGTAAAGACAATCTGTGTTCTTCAGGTGCGAGTCGCTGGCTAAACATGACTCAAGTGTCAAGATGCTTCTGATGCCCGAGGTGAAGCACAGGTCAGGAGGGGAAGAAAAAAAAAAACTGTCCAAACTGTCTGAAGTCTGGGATTTTCTCTACTTTACATCTTTTCTTACAAAAGGTCATCTTTGATGTAGCTGACAGACTGTGAGTAGAGTAGGAAGCTACAGCCAAGGTCACATTTGTTGAAATAGTTTAGCCATAAAGCTTTGTTTTTAGTTATAGTTATAAGTTAAAGATCCCCTGCAGACCTGTATTCTGACATATATACTTGGAACAGTAATGTGTGTCTGATATGACACATAGAAAAAAAGTATAATTCCTTCCTAATCGCTTGAAATTTGCTCCTAACTTTATAACCTTTAAGAGAGCGACCAAATCTTGGTTAACAAACTTGTACTCGTGAGTAGTTTTTAAATGTGTTGTCTTTAATTCTGTGTTTTATGTTCTGTTCTTTTTGCATTCTGTTGAAAAAGTATAATTCCTGAAGAAAAAGTCATCTCCTCGTTCTACTTCATTAAAACCTCCAGAATCTGTGAATATGCAAACGTCGTTCATTTCTAAAGTTTTGCTTCTGGACACAAGATGTCTCCTACTTCACTGTAAAGTCCATTCTCAGTGGATGTGCACCAGGATCAAATCATGCTTGTCTGTCAAACTCTGCTCAGACATCATTCAAACAGCACACTGTAGGAACAAGAAGAAACACTGATTTCTGACAGGAGGGGGAGTTTAAGTATAAGTAATCTCAGGCTTTATTTTAGATCCTGTATTATTTAAAAGGGCACCGTCAAACAGAAATGTCCAAAAATCCATATAGAATCTACATCTAAATGGTAAAAGGTCAGTTTAAATAAAAAAAAGACATTTTCTCACTCAGTCCATCTAGGCAGGCAGACAGTTTTGGTTTTATATGTCTAGCTTTTGAGATATGCGTCTCTGAGATTCACCTCCATTGTACTGGAATGGATGCCCCCAGTACAATGGAGGCACCATACTGTGGTGCTCACAGCATTGAAAAGTGACATTTTAAAAGTTCAGTCTTTCCAGAAATAGTGTCCCCATTACTATTGATAAATCACAGTACAGACTGTCAACAGTTTTCATGAGGATGTTTTCTGCGACAGAAAGTAGTTTGATTACCCAGAGTAATGGGGACACAAACCTTAAATGTAAAAAAAAAAAAACTGAAAAAAGAAGGTCCACTATAGGGCATTCAACCACATCTCATGGTCCTCTTCAATGGATGGTGCTTTCAAAGTTCTCATACAGTAGAGATGGCTCAACTGTCACCACACGACCCGAGTACAGAACCTCAGTACCAGTGGTTGTATATGGAGAGACATAATCCACTGTGTTGGATGGGTTGTGGTAAGGAGTTACACATATGATAGTCTCTTGGTTGGGCTCGAGCTGCAGAGGACAGGGGTGTGCTGGCTTCTGAGAGCAGCTCCAGGTGAGCTGATTCCCAGAGCTGGTGCTGGTTGACTAATTACTCTCTCCTTTCAAATGCAGTAGTGCCGGACCTCTGATGGCTGCTGCACACGCACAAAGTACAGACCGGTACACCAGCATGTCAGAGTTTGTTGCTGGAAGTATTTTGTGGAACTGTGCAGTGAATAATAAAAGAACACAGTTTGTAACCGGGCTGTGGTGTGTGTGATTGCGTTGCAGGGGGAGCTAACAGTGGCAGCGAGACCTGCTGCAGTGCTGGTACCCATACTTCAGGTCCAACTAATATTGCAGCTCCAGAGCATCGTTCAGGAGCTGTGATCCATTTGGCCTGCGTGCCGCGTGGAGGGTGTGGAAATCCCCTGAAGTCCCAGTTCTGACATTGTATTGTTTATAATCAGTAGCAGGTAGAGGGAAAGCTGTCGGAAAACTTTTATATTTTCACACCTTTTAAAGGTCCAGAGTGTAACATTCAGGAGGATCTATTGTCAGAAATGGAATATAATATTCATAGGTATGTTTTCATTAGTATATAATCACCTGAATATAAGAATCATTGTGTTTTTGTTACCTTAGAATGAGCTGCTTTTATCTACAGAGGGAGCAGGTCCTCTTCTACAGAGTCCGCCATGTTTCTACAGTAGCCCAGAGTGGACAAACCAAACACTGGCTCTAAATAGGCCCATTCGTTTGTTTCACAAGTTTTGTGGAGGGTTCTAGATACCACTGAATCCTACAAACTGGCCCTTTAAATGTTGAGTACAGAACCGTTTCCATTTGGAAGAGAAATATGTGGTCATTGGTCCCTATTGTTATGATGCTCCTGGTACATGTGGTAATATGTTTACTTACTACACAAAGCAGGGGCGTTGGACTGGGAGGGAAAAGGGGACTGAGTATTCAGGGACCTGCATGTACAGAGGGCCCACAAAGATAACAGAATGAAGAGCCGTGGATGCGGGGGTCAGTAGAGAAGGCCTATGTACGGCGTTCAAAATTTTATCTAAAGCTTTCTGTTATAAATGTGTTCACCCAGGCCCTCAAACTATTTTCTCAGACTTGACTCTAGAGTCACAAAGAACATTATACAAATGTTTTACAGGTTAAATAGCACTATCTATGGGAAGTAAAGTGATCTTCATGTAGGTATGGGTATGTTTCAAATATCTTGGCCTTAGCAGGTTTGAGTGTTTTCACATAGTAGATCAGGGATTACATATAAAACACTAAGTAGCTCACTAACTCAGTGACTTGAAAGCCGTAGCAATTTAAATCAGTTAGCTACGATTTCAAATTAAGCAGTTTTGACCCAGTTAAAGCTCACTGTGTCAGTATTTCCAGACTGAACATTTAAGCACTGCTTCCTAATAAAATATGGAAGTAGAATACCTCGTACTAGAAAGCAGTTTCCTCCTCCTCCTCCTCCTCCTCCTTGTCCTGTCTGATTCTAAAAGCCTGGGAGAGGTTCAGACTGAAGCTGCATCATGTCTCATCTCTGAACAAAGTGCAGCTGATGTATGCACGGCTTCCTCTGTATGGCATTCACCAGTCTGCAAGCTCTCAAGATATGTGTGTGTGTGTGTGTGTGTGTGTGTGTGTGTGTGTGTGTGTGTGTGTGTGTGTGTGTGTGTGTGTGTGTGTGTGTGTGTGTGTGTGTGTGTGTAGTCTGAAGAAAGTGAGTCAGGAGGAAATGTGAACAGTATCGGGACGGTTGTGCTCCTTGCAGCGTTTTGCAGCAGTAGGTTCACAGAAAGGACGGGAGGCGGGGCCCGCGGGGCCTCGGGGCCCACCCTTCCTCTGCACTTGTAAGTGAGGCTAAGTGCTTTGAACATTGGCTTTGTTTCACTCCTGTGAATGTTATGACAAGTTGCCAGATGGGGTCTGTCTATAAATAAACCGGTCTTTCTGTTGAAATATACAGAAACTTATGTTTTATGCATTTCATTACTTTAGTGAGTCATTTGCTCCTGGCTCAAGAGGATCTTTGCCAACGACTAACAGAAAACATCGATGGAGGAAGAGGGAGGTTTTGAATTTGACCTGCATCTGACCTTTACTGTGCTGCTTGGGAGAGATTCAACAGATCTGGATGATGGGGGTGAAAACCTCATGTGAAGATCACCAGAGACTGTACTTCCTCCAAGTATTTTTGCAGAGCCATCTTTTTATCCGCGGTCAGCTCCTCCAGCACTGTTGGCTGTGGCACAGTGCAGCTGCAGAGGAGTTCCCATTTCTCTGGTCCGCTGAGATAAAAGTCAGGACTTGTTTCTTCCTTCACAGCAGCCACTGAACTCTTCAAACAGCAATGTTTGTTTGATTAAAGCTCCATATAGAAATTGTTGTGTAACGTCCCCAGTAGCCGTGGTGGAGTTTCTTCAAGTCTGACAAACCAAGCTGTGATGATGGGGTTATCTTATTTTTTAACAGAAGGCCTGTGTTACAAACTGGGTGCAAGGATACGCTGACTAGACGTTCCGGTTTGTTCAGGATTGTCCTGGTTTCAAGCTGGGTGTCCTGAGTCCTGAAAAATATCTGTAAAACACTAGAAATGTCCCAGTTTCCAACATTCACTACCAAATGTTCCCGGTTTCATCAGAAAGAGCTCCGGGAGACTTAGTCCTAGTTAAAGTACCCAGCAATAAAAATGCTGTGTCCATGGCGTCCGTGGTGTTGAAAGGTGCACCCAGTAAATATATGTAGATGTTGTGAACTTAAGGGTCGTGGTTTGGGTTGTTTTTTCTATTCATTATTTTATTTATTATATTCTTCTTTACACCTTAAATGTTGATGAATTACATTTTATACTTGAAGGTCTGGGGCAATTTCTCCTTTGTTCTCAGCACTTATTAGTAAAAGTAACCATTTTTCTAGAAGTCATATCCTAAACATAGCCAAGTGGAGTGGTTTTTAGACCATAAAATAGGAAATGCATTGACTGATGAAGAACTACTTGGCTGTTACACTACATGTAGTCAACGTGCTTAACACAGTGCGACTCAACTGTGAAAGCACATGGGGTTTACCTGTACTGTAATGTGTTGTATAAATGAACTGCCTTACCTTAAAAGTATAACATCCAATGAACCCACTCAGACTGTGTTTTGCGTGTCGGTACGTCAGGCCTCAACCTGCAAACCAAGCAACCGGGCTAGAAACGAGGCTAACAAGTCTGAGAAGCTGCTGATCTGCCTTAAATCCCGCTCATGTTATTTAGCTTCATCAGTGAGGACAGATAAAGAGCAGAGTGGCACCGACTCCAATAATCACATTACACAACCTCATTATCTATAGAACACTGAGGGATAAACATACAGGGAGAACACCAGAGTAATCACTTTTAAAGTTTTATTCATTACGCTGCAGTTTGACTACAGCATAAGTACAAGCATAAAATCTTTGACTACAACAGCACTTAGAGCAACATTTTTTGATTTTTTTCTTCTTTTCTGTAAAAGTATTGCAATAACAGACCTTAGGCCTAAAACCTATTACATCACAATTGCTTAAATAAAAAGAGGCAAAAATACACAACAATTTTACCTCTGCGTTTGGATATATATATACTGTATGGTTACTGAACACAGTCATATATATATCTAGATTTCAGCACAGAGGGGGGAGAGGGGGAACGAGAAGGATTCATTTTGTAAATAAAGCAAACCGATGTTACAAAACCCATGATGGAAGCAGTCCTATGGTAACTGTCAAGACAGAGAGAATACCAAACTGTTGAGACGTTATCATTGTTATTATTATCATCATTATTATTAAAATCTGGAACGATAAAAACAGCTACTTGTTGTCAGCAGTTGAGTACAGACTTCTGATAAGTGGAAAGAGGGAGCGCGCTGCGGGGGCAGAAATAAAATAAAAATCAGTCTGAGCCCAAGTTAGTTCTTCAAGCTAGTGCAGGAAACAGAAAAAAAGGTCTATTAAGAAGAAGGAGAGCCGAGCGACGCTCCAGCCAAAGTTACAATAGAGACTTTTCCAAATTAAAACTACACAACTGCCACTTATTTGGTGCTTTGAAGAGAAAATGGCGCGTTGCTATGTACATTGTCTATAGATAAGAATGAACATGCTCTGCGGTTATTGTACAGTGGAGTTATTTTCAGTACATACTGTAAATAAATGACTGCAGATTAAACATGACTTTTGTTTCAATATACTGTGCCACATATAACATTGTAATGTAGAAAATAAAATAAAAAATTATAATAATAAAGAGAGAAAAGTTAAATGACAGTTTTAACGGCATTTTCCCCCCACTTGTTTCACGCTGGTGCAACTTTCCAATCTTGACCAAAAGAGGGAATTTTTCCTTTAATGTTTCACACTGTTCAACATTAACGTGATCCTCCTGGAACAGAGCTGAAATGCTTTAACCAGAGCCTGACATCCAGCCACATCTATAGCAGTGCTGAGTGTGCTCGACAGATTTATGCTTTGGCAGATATACAAAATTACAGCGGAACTGAACTAAAATATTAAGATCTATGAGTACAGACACATATTCTCCCATATTCGGAAGTGCTGACGGCTCTCGTGTGCAGTGGTCATGTGACGCGTCTCCCAAACTATAGACAGCTTCGGCTTTTTGTTCGACAATTTACAAAGCGGGTTGAGATTCAACCGGGGTGCTCGGCTGAAGTCGTGGCATAAACACCAACTGATGTGTGCGATTTACGTTTTCTTAAAAGATCTGTGTGATAGAACTGTACATTTGTTAGTCCATTGTGGTGAAAACAAAAAACCACCAGCCGGTACCCAAATGATGGCAAGAACTGTGAAAGCTTGTTTTTAGATGATCCAATAAACAAGTGAATAATATCCTTTCTCAACAACTTCCTTAATCCAGAGGTTATCTCATCCTTATCATAACAGACTATTATTTATAGCAAAATATTATAAGTAGTAATTTGTATTTGTGTTGCAACCATATTCTAAGCATACTTTTCAAACCATGTTTTCTCATAAAAAAAAGACAAAGCACGTTTTTAACTGTAGGCATTTACAAATTTGATGCTGCCTTCTTAAAATTCTTATATTGTCTATACATTATATTACATTATTCACAACATTTTTTTGTGGTTTCTACCCATTGGGTAGGATATGTGCATAATATATTCAAGTTATATACAGCACCTTACAAACAAACATAAAGAAAGACAGACTACTGAAAAAAGCACCGTTGGAAGTGAGGCACAACGAAGGTGGGAGCTTTTTGAGTGCAAGTGGGTTCCTATGTCTGCTCCACACGCTGGTCAAATTACTGGTTGAAATGGCTTCAGTTGCCTCGGCAGGAGTGGCCGCTCCTGTCTGGCGTAATGGAAGCGAGCAGGCTGGCAAGCATGCCACGCAAACACCTGAACTCTGAGCTATAAGTAGTCAAGGTTGAGCTGCAGTTTGGGGAGACGGCCGGTGTTTTGCTACACTTTTGGCCCTGTGGTCAACCAATCATATAGTTTCATGTAGACCTTGAATTCAATGTGGTTCTTGTCCACTTCACTGCAGGATCAGATTCAGTCAGGAGCTCAAGAGCTGAATGAGAAACCCAGACCTACTGTATCATCAGCCCACAACGTAACAAAAAGAAATGTTTTGGCAAACCTATAGCTAACCTTTTCTCACATACTCTCCATTCTGCCAGACAGGTGGTCAAGTCCGAGATAAAGCGCCTGTGAGGATTCCAAGCAGCAGTTTGACTGAGGTGTGGTCTGCTCAAACATGAACATTAGGCACCTTATTTACTCACATAATAGTAACATGCAAACCTCCTTGTAGAAAACATAAAATTCATCTTTATATCCTCAATTTACAAGCTATGACTGCGCAGACAGAACAAGGCGAGAAAACAACAGAAAGAAGGAAGAAAAAGAGGAAAGAAACGTGGGTTTGAAGCAGGTCCGTACAGTCAAAGGCAGAAGTGTTAGGACAATCCTCTCACCACTGACTCAACCCAGGTTTCTGTGTAACAAAATGAACATGTTTGAATGTGGGTCCTGTGGGAAACAAGACCACGTTTTGTCTCAATACTTGTGCTTTTGACTGCAGAGGGTCAAATTTCTCTCCTTCTAGTTTTGCATGAGTTGAGGGGGACAGGATGGACAGAAGGACAGGGGACTGGGGGAGAGGGAGGGGCGGGGGCATGAGAAGCAGCAGTAGCAACAATAGTAGCAGTAGCAGTAGCAGCAGCAACAGCAATAGCAGCAGCGATGTAGTAACACACACACACACACACACACACACACAAACACACACAACTGTAGAGCCAGATGGACACCAGAAACATGCATTCATTCAGACACACTGATGGAATCAGAAAGCTTTCTTTCAAACTGACCAGAAACCTTTATTCTCTCCACCATGGTGACATCTGAGTGGTGTAAACTCATTCATGAGCTCTAAGTGCACAAGGTGGGGAACGATCCACTTAGTCCATTCTTACCTACAGGAACAATTCTACGTTCCCAGTTTGATGGTTCAACTTGAATACAGCTCAGCGTAAGGCCTCTCTGCTGCATTAGCATTACACGATACCTTCAAATACTCATTAATGCTGCATTAGGAAACCTCACACTCTGGTTGCAACTAGTGCCAGCAGGTTGTTTCAAAGTGTGAAGGACTTAAGTCCTAAGAAATGGTGAACCACATTATTTAATTAGAGCATAAAAAGGTGCCTGTGTCACAATTCCATATATGTATATATATATATATATATAGTAGTATAAACGGATTTCTTATTGTCATAGCATACTGTGTTTGCAATAAATACACAAGAAATCAATGTTCCTTTCTCACTTTTTCTGTTTTGTACTGGGAAGTAATAAAAAATGTGCACTAAATGCCAATAAAACTGCGACTTTTAGTGCCAGTGCCAATTTAAAGGGAAGTCTGGCGATACTCAATATTTTATTGTCATAAAATCCCCCAAAAAGACCCCAACCTACAATGAACTGTTGCTACTAATATGTACTGTACTGTGGGTGTGTATGTCAATAAGCAACACACTTGCACTGGGTGACATGTTCTTACTTATTACCATGAACACACTGTAGTTTATTTTGACTCCATACACTGGCTGCAGCAGTAGATTCTCACTAAAGACCACTCACTACCATGTTCCAGAGCTTTACACCACCTAGCACCACCTAGTCTTCCTCAGCAGGTGGAGTTTTCTCAGTTGTCCAGCAATTTAGCTCAATTAGGACAATTTGAGCCTATAAAAACAAGTAAGTGGACAAACGCATAATTGTGACAAGGTAGGGAAGTCCTGACAGTACTCAGAAAATATATATAGAATAACACAAGCATGAGGCTCCTCAAAGAGAAAGCTAAATTGTGTCCCAAGGATTTAGTTTCTGTATTATTTCCTCAGATCTTCCTTGAGTCGTCTCACCACCATCCACTATTTATTTTCGTATTTTGCAGCAATGAAACTGGGACACAGTGTGTGGCTCTGCTGTATCACCATTACCAAGAAAGGTGGCGTTTCCCTTGTGCAGCATTAATGGAACCTGTGTGGTAGACTGTGGCGTGCACTCTCTTTGAGCTTTTACAGTGAGGTCGCTCCTGCGCCACCAGAACTACCTTTAATGAAAGCTTAATTAATGATGTGTTAATATGGGCAATGCCAAATAAGTAATATGTCCTTGAATCTATAAACTCAGACGAAGCAGTCGGCTCATAAATCACTCAGATAAACACAGACAAACACACACGCACGCACATACACAATGCTCCTGAAGGAGCATTAAGTGCTTTTCTGTGTTGTTAAAAGGTCTAGCCAACAAACACACTCTCTCTCTCTCTCTCTCTCTCTCACACACACTAACACACTCACACACATACACAGGGAGGAGAGGACTGCACTAGCACACTGCCAAACAAGGGCTCCACTCCAGTCTCCACTTTAAAGGGCTTGGCGGACTCTGCATCATTTGAACGCAGTTTTTTCTGCACATGGATGGAAGGAGGGATGATGAACAGTGTTTACCAGAGACACTGTTAAAAAGCTGGGATTTGGGGGTGGGGGGGTCGGGGGGGCAGCACTGGCGTTGAACGCAAACAAGATAGAGAGACAGAGAAAGCGCAAGAGCAGAGGAGAAGGCAACGATGAGCAGAGAAAAAGGCTCGATTTTCAAAAAGGTTTTCTTTTACAAAAAAGGACCCTCCCATAGCCCTTTGACTTCGACCACAGACAGTTTTCGTTTAAAACCTGATCGCTGTGCTGGCGGATGCAGACAGGAATCTTCACTTTGTGTCGTCTTTTTTTTTTTTTTTTGTGGCTTTAGAGATGTGAAGACGGAGAGCCGAGCCTTCTTTTTGTTTTTGTTTTGTGTTTTCGTTGTCATGGCGGCGGGGTTCGTGTTCAGTGTGGCTGTTGGCAGAACGCACTGTGCATGTCGAGATGAGCGGTGAGAGGAGAGGAGAGGGGGCGGAGGAGGGGTATGAATGCAGGAAACAGGAAAGAGGAAGTGTCAGGTGCTCAGAGGTCGGGACAGAGTTGAAAAATGAAGAATCTGTTGCTGCGACCAGGCTGCTGGGTGGACTGGCAGATATGTTTTTGTTGTTGTTATGGAGTTGTGTTATTCTTGGTTGGCTTGATATCCAACCAGCTGGCCAGATTTCCAAGAATTGTTAGCACGGAGCATGTTGGATCTTGCCAAACAGCTCTCATCTTTCTAAGAGTTTAGCAACGACTCTGGTCGCCATCTTCAAATGTTGTAACAAATGGTCAAAGTAAGAAACGTTTGGTCCACCCAGCGGCTGTTCGCGAGGCAGATCTCTTCCCCACTAGGCTGAAGTGTACACAGACGTGAGCAAGGTCATTCTCTTACTAAGACTCACGTAGTGCCTGTGGTGTAAGCAGACAGAGATGTTGTAGGCTGGGTACGAGTATTTCTTGCTATTTTCAAAAAAGGAAGGACATAAGCTTATAATACTTGTTGTTTTTTTTGCTCCCAACTGTTTAAACAACTTTGGAGCCAAAGTTCAGTCAGTCAGTCCATTCATGAAAAGGACAAAAAAAAAAAAAAAAGAAAAGAAAAACAAACACATCATCATCATTATCATCACATAGCACAATTTCCCTCTTCTCTTTTACAACAAAAAGATAGTGCAACTTTTAGATAACTTTTCTTTTTTGTGTTTTGTCATGTGTTAGTCATTTTTTCCCCCCTTTGCTTCCTCGTGAACCTTGGCACTAAGATTTTGGATTTGTGAGTCTCTTGTTTTGTTGTGTTCTCTGTAAGTCCTTGATTCTCAGTTCTCGCTTTGTGCACAGATCCCGGTCCGAAAAAGAAACGAAAAAAGGAAAAAGAAAAAAAAACCCATCATCCTCAGTTCCCGGGGACAGAGCCGTCGCCCGATGGGACAAAAGAAGCAAATCGTTTCAATCTGTGCTAGCAGTATGTTTCTTTCTCATGTAGAGGAAAAAAAGCTCTCCACGCAGTGCATACGTCTCGCCCCAGCAGTGCTAGCTGTTTGAATTACTAACATCGGAAAGAAAGTGAAATCAAATCAACTCTTGGTTCCTCTCTTTCCTTGTTTTGTTGTAGCTAAGGTTGATATTTATTTGTGCATGGGAGTGTGGAGAGAGGACATGAGAGAGACAGAGAGAGAGAGAGATAGCGATAGAGAGACCACTGCTTAAAAGTGATCAATGGGTGAAGAGGAGAGACAGTTTTCAGTCTGGGCTGGGTGGTCCCACCTGCCCCCCTACCCTTTTCTTCACACCAGGTCCTCCGGTTGGCCATCCTTGGCCTTGGCAGGTACTATTGTGCTTTCTGATTGGCTCTGCTGCTGGATCGTCCTGCTCCCCGGCCCCCCCACCCTCTGGTTATTGCTGTGCTGGTGTAGAAAGAACGCTGAGCCGGGGTAGTGACCCATCACCTCACTGTACGCTGGCGGGGGGCCCTCCATGCGCCCGTGGCTGCTGGAGTTGGCCGCACTGATGCCCGAGTTACTGCTGGGCGGCCTCGGACCGCCTCCTCCAATTCCTCCCCCTCCTCCCCCGACCCCTCCCAGGCTTCCGCCTCCTCCCATGTCGATCAAGTCACTGTCGTAGATGGTCCGGTTGGGCGGCGCCCTCACCGACTCGCGGTTGAGCTCCATCTGCTGCTCGGGGTCACGGAGCTGCAGGGTGCAGGGCCCCTGGTACGGCGGGGGCTCCTCGCCGTCCGACAGCGAGATGGTGGGCGGCAGGTCGATCTGGTGCTGCAGGTAGGGGTAGGTGGGCTGGAAGCGGCTGAAGCGGTCACGCTGCATGAAGGAGGGAGCGGTGAAGCGATCCCTGGCCTGGGGAGCGTATAATACCTGCGAGAAGTAAGAGAGAAGGTGGGGGAATACAAGGAGCCACAAAGAAAGAAGAAAGGAGGAGGGAAAGAGGGACAGAAGAGGAGGAGAATAAATGAAAAATGTCAGTACAGTGACATGTGACACATGACAGCTTACTAGCAGCAACAGGCAATAGGGTTAAAATCAATATCACAGTATTAATATTCCTCTATGCCACAATATGGCAAATGTATACATACAAAACAACTGATGTTCAATGCAGTTAACTGTGTTATGTGTTTCATCTATTTAAATTTGTTTTAATAGCTATTTGCTTTTACATTTTGAATTCATATCAAGACGACAGCAGTGACAGACCATCCGTGGTGTATGGTAGCCCAACAATATTATTCATCTGGCTTAAACTCTTATTAATCATGGCCCCTCAAAATTAACTTGTGCCTCCAGTCCCCAGGGTGTCCCACCCAAGCCCCCAGGAACACAGATGGGCTGTGAGGTCATTTTGGCGTTGTGGCCACAAACGGAACTGCTGGTCACATATACTTTTCACTTACTCTTCCTATTATCCTAACTTGAGACATTACATCCAATAAAAAAATACAGAGCTGTATGAAAACATTACATTATTGTGGCACATAAGTAACACACTGAATAGAAATATCTTACAGTGGCATTAAAAATCAATTAATTGTTTTTGACATTTTTCCAAATACTTTCTTTCATTGAACTTAAGTCATCATTTAGTCTAAAATGAGGCCATAGGAGATTATATGTGTTCATGTTTTTTAACACATTATTTTTTTTAATTCATCTAAATTAATGTGTTAAATTTGACAGCATTTGATAATTAAATGGGTGGCCAGGCATTTTTTAGCGCACATAAGTTCAGGATATGTGGCCAATAAGAAACTATCACCGGGATGTATGAGGCACCATCTTAGAACACGGCATCTCAAGTCTCTCAATACATCCATGGGTTTGACCCCCAGGTTGAGAACTAATTAAACAATATCTCAAAATCAGCCATTATGACATTTATTGCAGTAGAGTGTGCTGAGTATACGAGATCTAAGTTCCTGTTAACTGCTCAGAAAATACATTTCTCTGCAAGTATAACTGAATTCAGTATAAACACTTTCCAGTGAATGATGAATGTGTCACCAATTGGTTATTAGCGACATTACAGTTAAGTAAAGTTAATTACAGTAAAGTGGAGAAAAGATACACAGTGCCTTCTACAACATCCAACACATTGCTTCATCCTCCAGCTTTTGTCAGAGATCTTCACCTCAATTAGCTCTTCAGACTGTGACTGCATGATCCATTTTTTCATTTCTCACATTTCTGTCCAATTCAACGCATTTCTACTGTGGTGAGTCATTATCAGAGGGAACCCATTTCAATTAGTGACTGTGGCTCTAATAGTCAACCCCCACTGACAAGGCAGCCTGGATGGAGAGAACAACAGGCTGGAGGAAAAAAAAAAACCTGTGGGGATAGAGGATCAGGGCAATTGAAATGGAGAGACAGAGAGAGAAAGAGTGGAACGGAAAGGATTAAAAAGAAAGGCTACTGAGATAAGGAGAGAGAAAGAGAGAAAGGAGAGATGAAGAAAGAGCCATGGAGATAAAGAGAGGAAAGGAGAGCTAGAATGATAAAGACAGAAAGAAACAGAAGAGACAGAAAAAAAGGAAAAAGTATAGAGCCAGACAGATAGACAGACGGACGGAGGGAGGGGGAGAGAAAGGTGTATAGCTGATAGAGGGAGCAGAGCGCAGCAGAGCAGGGCAGCTCTCAGACGGCTGTCTAGACAGTGTCAGGGGAGGTGTTGCTGATTAATGACGCACCAAAAACCATCCACCCCCCTGCCACACACACACACACACACACACACACACACACACACACACACACACACACACACACACACACACACACACACACACACACACACACACACACACACACACACACACACACACACACACACACACACACACACACACACACACACACACACACACACAGCCCCCTTCCCTGCATCTATCAGCCACCCACACTCATTGGCTGCGTCTCCCTCTGTGTTTGTCTCTCCGTGGCCTTTTCCTTTTTTCTAGGTCTCTCTGGGTGCTTTAACGTTGACACTGTTTTTACCTCCCTTCATCCTCCTGCACCTCTTCTTTCCTGACTCCATCCACCTGCCTTCTACTTCTTTTCTCTCTCTATCCGCCCTTTATGTCTCTTTCCCACTCTTCTTCTTCTTCAGTTTTGTTTACGCATATGGCTTTTAGCTGGCAGGGTACTCCAAATGAAAGCAAATTTGGTGTTTGTTTTGGTGCAAACTTGCCCCGTTTGCCTACACAAGTGTCACATTTGGCTTTGACTGCCAAAGTGCGAACAAACTGGCCAACTAAACTTCTCACACAGTCTCGAAATGCTATTGTCTGCAAGTTATCGGTATTACCATGTGATTGGTTGTGTTTTTGGAGTGTTCTTTGAACTCCGTGTTTCTAGTTTTCCCAGTGCGCCTCCTCCCACCACCACTCGTAAGCTCCTCCATCTGGCACGGACACCATTAAGCAAACAGATCACCAGTCACAGTGAGTATACTGGCATTTGTTTGCGGTTCTGTATTCTGTAGTCTTTGAGAACATGCCAAATTAGATTTTGTTTGGAGTATAGTGCCAGCAGTACCCGGCGCGACTTACAAGCTTCAATTCCTGAATGATCAAATATTTACAAGAAGCCAAAATGCAAATGTCAGGATCTTTGTGCCGTACCAGTATTCCTGTAACCACAGAAGAATTATACAAGGGCAAGTACCTGGAAAAAAAGCCCACTAAGAAACAAAGAAGAGCTGAGAAGAGAAATTTCTTTTGTAACTAGACAGAAGAGATCAATGAGTGGGCTCAGGTCTACTTTCTCTCAGTTTAATTCATTTTAGATGCCATCTTTACAGCCTATACTTTGTCTGTATTCTGTAGCGAGTTAATATCTATAAAGACATTTACACATACTGTATATGATTTATTTTTAACCACACAATAACAAGGCCATAGGAATCTGCCGGATTGCTTTATGGCACCAAGTTTGTTTATGCCACAAAACAGGAAGAGGAAGTTCCACTTTCACTCTAAATGAAGACACAGAGGTGAGAGAACAGACGCACATGGAAGAAATCCACGAGGTAATGGTAACATCGGGGACTATAAGTAATGTGACTCATGCCAACAACACCATTAGCATAAAACAGAAACTACCAAAGGTTTTGTCCATACTACCATTTGTTTATGGTAATTATTCCAAAGTTAAACAATTATTTGACAATGATTTATGAATACTGAAAATGTTACATACAGCTAGAAATATCACATCAAGATGGCGAAAGCAACCGACCAGGGGAAACAGAGTTACCACATGTTGCTCAAGATATATGCAAAATTTTTTGCAAAGTTGCAGAACATGTCTGCTGATAGATGACCCAACTACTGCTTCGGTTGAATTAAAGTTGTCTTCGCTGATTTCACAGATGTCTGAAGTTGAGGAAAGGGTGGAGTGTAGCGATATGCATCTTGATGCATCGCCAACAATCCGATATATTAAAGATAGATGGTACTGATGGTTTTACAGTTTAGAGAGAAAGTATCAATCTAAATATAAACTTATTGATCACATTTCTAGATGAAAGGCCCAGGGCATCTACTAATAATTATAAATCCAATGCAAAAATGTTTCGAAACAATGCATCTTGATTTCATCCCAAATTGTATCAGTTCCATGCTTTTTTTAAACAGTATGATCACTCTTATGCCAGTGCACCAATGCAAATTGATTAATCTCGCCATCTCTAGCGTGGAGTGGCTAAAGGACGCCAACAAGAAGATGGAGGCTAGCTTAGCTTAGCTACTGAGGCTGATGTCATTGACCTCCGCGAAGATACAGAAAACAGGTGCAATAATCTCAGACTTGTGGGCATTCAAGAAGCCCTACCCAACACCTGAAAACACGTATTCAGACTTGCAATGGAGTAGAAGACAGTTTGGTGGGAACTCTTTTCATACTGTACATGCAGCTGTCATGGTGTTGTAAATATCTAAAGTTCAGGTTCAGGGTCCTCAGAGTCATCATGGTTGTAAATATCAAGCGTAGCCATAGGCCCGCTCGCTCTGCCTCTTCACAGTGAGCGAGGCTTGGCTGTGGGTTTAACATGGGTCGGCGTGGTGGTGGTCTTACCTCCGAGGCACCTTGTCGAGAGCCGCTGTCTGAAGGCCACAGACACCCATCCTACACGCAGAGACAGACAGAACAACAAGAAGAGAGAATAAGGCTAAGATGTGAAAAGATCCCAGCTGGTTTGAAGACTGTTATACACCTGTCTGAGGGGTTGAAAGCAAGTTTATGTTTGAGCTTCAGGGAGATTTTCACATATTCATGTTACTAACAAATATGATAAGATACTGCAGCTTTACTTTCTAATGCCGACAAAGTGATCAGTTCATCTATTTGAACATTTAACTTGTATTTGACAATGTGTTAAATTCACGTTAGATTCACTGCTGCTGATAAAGCTTCAGAAATCAGTAATCATTACTGCTTTGTTGTTTGTTATGTCTGGGATGGTTTTTGATGTGAGACCATTAAGCTGACGATACAAACTTTCTTCCTGAACAAAAAAGGATGAATGGGGGGGGGGGACAAAAAGTAACAACTTAATGAGGACACAAAAGATGAAACAACTGTGCTGAGGAACGCCTGATGGCTTCAAACCCAAAATCCTGCCCTGTTTGGGAGCGAGGACAACAAAAGGCAGACGGCTCCCGTCTTAAAAAATAGGCAGGATAAAAGCTACAACAAAGAAACACGACTTCGTCTACATTTGACTTGAGGATCTTTTCTAAGATGGCACAGTCAACAATATTTACTGAAAAAAGGAAAACATGAAAAGGAGGACAAACATGCATAAATCCTGGTTGTTTATGTGTCTGTTAGGTGCAGAGGCCATTGGCTATTCTTTCAAATTGCACTTTATCTGCTACAGGGCTTTGCCGGCTTGTTGCTTTCTGATGTTGCATTTATGGTATTTTTTTCCTACTATGTGTCTGCTTCTCTCTGCGTAATGTTTGTTTTGATTGGACAGTACAGGGCAGAGGGTGAGAGGAGAGATGAAAAAGATGAGATGAGAGGTTATTAGCTGAATTTAAATAATCTGTAATATGACAGCCAAGCAAACAAAAGCTTTTATCTGTTTTGCAGATGCTGGTCTAGAAGCTGAATATATCAGTGCAATAATTTTGCATCATGGATCACATTCTGTACATGATCCTATGTCAGCGGGTGCAATCTTGCAATGTGCATATGTGCACGTTTGTATGTATGTGTGTGTGTGTGTGTTTGTCCCAGAGTGTCGACATGTCAGTATGGGGGCAGAGCTGCTGCTGTCTAGACGGCGCTGTAGTGAATTAAACATCAAGGCCTGAAAGAGTCTGGCTCTGAAGAAACCGATTCGGCAAGTTCACCTAACAGACTGGAGTAAAGCTGTTACCTCAGTGAAACTGGGACAGAGACTCCGACTGGGATAAAAGGATTCATTTAGCTCTGCGCAGCTTTACTGGGAACAAACTGGTAAGCTATGTTTGTCCTGCTTCAGAAATAAAGAAATGTACTGTCACAATGAGTACGTGGGGACATTCAGTGAGAACAGATGAACAGGCAGACATGCAGTTTTTCACTCGCTGTCAGTTTAGATCAAAATGTTATTGGCATGGTCGCTGAGAAACAGCACTGCCAGAGCGACTAAACACAACGCAACACAAACTGTATCTTTCTGTCTCACACACACACACACACACACACACACACACACACACACACACACACACACACACAGTTACGGACCTGCTGCAGGGCATGGTCGTGTCTGCGGGCCTGGCTCTGCCTTGTTATGAAGGACCAGGTGGAGAGCTTGTAGTGGTTGAGCAGGCAGATGATCACCACCACCATCACTGTCATCACCACGATGATGATGACGATCTGAACAAACTCCAGTTCAGCTGCAAAAAACACAGAAAGGGGAGAGAGGGGGATTAGCGTCAGACATTTACAAGAGATATACGGGCAAAATAACTTACAATCATTACAATGACAAAACTGTACATTTTAAACAACATTACAACATTCATTTATAACCTACATCTACACAATTTCAGAAAGCCTAATCTGAGGCTAGATGTGTAGTATAAAATTTGACTATGTATAATGATGGCAAGAAAAATGATTGATTTAGATTGTTGGGGTTGTATTTCTGCAGGTTTCAACAGGTAAAATTTAAGACTGTTTAAGACTATTAGGAATGCAATAAGACCTATTTTAACCAAGGGAAATCAGTATTGGTCCTATGTGGGGTTGTAGTTGTTACAGCCTGATCAATAAAATCCGGATTTTAGACTTTTTAAGACCTTGTAGTAAATCCAATGTATCTTATTTTGTCAAAGTGTAATGAGTGTGTATATGCAGTATAGAAAGCCTGATAACAAGAAACCGACATCTACAAATGGCTTGCATCTAAAAAAAAAATCCACAAGTCTGAGGAAGATCCTGTGATATGATCAAAAGCTCCAGAACAGCTACTGAATGGACCTTTTGGTGAGATTGCTTTCTGAACTGAAACTGTGTTTTAAGGGATTTAACTGCCAGCCTTCTTAAGGAGCCACAGATCCCCTGATTGAGTGCTGTTCTGACTGGCTGTTGTAACTCATGTTAACCAGCAGGGGGCAGCACAGGTCAAACAGCAAGTCAGTCTGTCACATAGTGAGTATCCTGTACTGTATGTATGGTTTATATGTGTGAGTGTGTGTCCGAGGATTGGACAGAGAAAAGCTTCAAATCACAGAAAAGATGAGTGTCGAGACTGTGGTGTCTGTCCCAGCGTACAGTGGTTTCTTTGTGGAGATGCTGAATAACTGCGGTGTTTCTGTCCTCAACAAATAGTCACACACAGTCACACACACACACAGTCACACACACACACACAGTCACACACACACACACACACACACACACACACACACAGTCACACACACACACACACACACACACACACACACACAGGCATCAGAGCTGATCTGGGATGACCTCCTAGATCAGGGCACCAGTGGGAGACACAATGATCGCTGCCTCACAGTCACGTCTGCCTCTCGTCTCTTGTTCATTGTTTCATGGTTTCATCCTTTTTTTTCTTCTCCTCCCACTCTGCAGCTTTTTGAACCCTTCCTCTATCTCCACTTTACTCCCCCCACCATCTCTTTATCCATCTTTACTCCATTCTCCTCTTTTTCTCCCACAAGTCACTGCTTGTATTCTCCCACCTCTTCGGGTCTTTATCAGTCCCTCTTCGAGCATTCCTCTCTAACCCGCCATCATTCTTTCTCTGCGTTTCTTATCCTTCATTGTCTCCCACTTTCAGTGTCTCTCTTCCTCTGTCATTCCCTCCTTCCTCTCCAGTCCCTCTGTGCAGTCTGAGAGTCTTTTGTTGTGTGTTGTCGGTTTGTACTGAAGCAGAAGTCTTGACCTTGTCTGGTCTTGGCACACAGTCTGACCTCTGACTCATGCTCTAACTCACTGCTGGACACTCACTCACTTTATATGCGTGTGTGTGGTTGTGTCTGTGTGAGTGTTAATACAGTTTGTGTCCTTGTGTGTACGTGCAGCTCTGTAGGAACAATGACACAATGTACACTCAGCTATTTGAGCTACAATGCCTCAATTCTGGCGGACACTTTCTCCACAAAGCTCTGTACAATTTTTGGAGTGGTTTACCCACAATCCACCTGGGTGGTTTTTGACACAACAGGGGTGGGATCAGGTGAAGACAAGAAAACAGTATGCGAAAATCCCAAAACAAGAGCTTCAATTGCCACTGGACAAAATACAAAAACAATTCTGTATTCTTATCATAAATGTGAAAACTTGCAAGAAAGACACAAAAGCTTGAAGCAGGGACCAGCCCAGTAAAACCCAACCTATCCCAGTCTTCCCAGCCTCAGTAATCCTCCCCGGCTTATTTGTCTGCATTACGGTAGGTTAGTGTCGAGTCCGAGCTGAAATGTAAACCCACCCAAACCTGCCTCTGCCCCACCACAGCAGCCACAGGGGACGGGTGGGGTAAGTCTGACAGGAAGAAGGCCAACTAGCACAAACCACATGGAAGGGGGGAGGGAAAAAAAACGCTGCGAAGAAGGAAACCTAAGCCAGTAAAACCAACCGACATTAACCACCAAAGAGCGGAGGTATGAGGTGCTTAGTGCAAAACAACAACGACGGACGAGCTCGACAACTTTTCTTTTGCAAGATGAAAGGCTACGAGAGAGGTGGCGAAGAGTTAAACGCCTCATTAATGAATGTATTAGTATAATGAAGCAAAAAGAACAAAAATACTGCACTAAACTATTACTACAATTTCACTGACACATTCAGTTCAACATTTACAATCTTGGTGGAAATGTTGGCCTAACCAAACACATTTCTCGCACCAGACATTTGAAAAATGTGAAAACTTTTTTCGAAGCTATTCGTCACAATATGAGTCACCTAATGTGGAAGAGGAAGGGCTGAGGGAACAAAGTGCTGAGAGTGAAGATGAAGAACCCAAACTGCACTGAGTGACCCTCTGGTAACGTCATCAAACACACACAAGAGGGAAGAAGTGGAGTGTTGTGGGGGGGGGGAAAACTCAGAGGTTGTAGAGCCAAATTCACCTAACAAGCCATGAGGGAGAGGGGCTGAGGTAATGTTACATTCAAGGAACCAGTGTTCTGAAAAGCAACGCAACCCCTTACACCTGGTGCCTTCAGGTCTGGTGAACCCCTATATCAGTGGTTCTCAATCTGGGGTCCTTGAGCAGGTCCACAGAAAAATGGGGCATATTTTAATTTCACTATTATTTCACTGACTAGAAGTTAGCCCAATGAGATAATGTCTACAAATGATTATTCTGTTCATAGGTTTCACACTCTTCACTGTTAATCTGCCAATCTACAGTGTAGACTTTTTATCGGCCTGATGTGTATCAATCGGGGGGTCCTTGACACCAAGAAGGTTAGGGACTACTGTCCTATATCACTGGTCACCAATCTTTTTGGCTTATGAACCTTTAAAGCCAAGGCAAAGCCTACTCCTGACCTCTTGTTAGATGTTACAAAAGTGCATGAGCTGTGAGCAGTTCAACCAAAAAGGGAAGTTCGCACATCAGACTGCTTCATTTTAAGATTCCTGACGAGGTACTTAAAGTCTACAGCCATGTTTGCAGCTCTGTGAAGCTGTACTTGCGGACAGAGGTGCTTTTAGCTGAATGCTAACATCAGCACTCTCACATGCACACAGTAATGGCAATACCATGCTGATGTTTAGCATGTTTACATCTTAGTTTAGTGTGTTAGCATTTCAGTACGAACCAAAGGTAGACTGGCAGACTGACATTGCCCAGTAATTATATGTCAAGGCCATACTAGCAGAAAGTGCACAGGATATGAAGACAAATCTGTATTGGAAGTTGTAAATGCAAATAATGTAAATGTAATTGATCAAATCCATTAAGACCTGCTAAAAACACGTTAGGTACATTAAGGCTTATATTTCAGACTTTATCAAGACCATGCAGAACCTGACCGTCATCCAAACAGACATGCTTCTAGTATGGCTAAAAAGCAATAATTTGAGAATAGTCCAAAAAACCCAAAACACAATTTTCATAATGGGACCAGAGATTTGTTTTGCAACCCTTTGGGGCCACTGCCCTTCTCTGAAAAGGGAAAATGCATTGGAAAGATGTTGCTAGGCCGACTGTCTCATTTGGGAGCTTGAGCCACTACCAGCCCGGGCCTGTGTGCTCACCACAGCAGCCACAGGGAGGGGACTGAGGGAGGGTTTCATTCAGAGAACAGCCTTCTGGGAAACCAAGTCAACCAGGCCCTTCTGTAAGCCCGCCGGATAAATATCACATTCTCTGCCTTCTGCTGTTGTAAAAGCCACACAAACCAGACGCCCTGACTCAAAGCTGTCTTCTGAAGTACAGGCGGGGATGTTTTTACAGTTCAAGCTAAATAAAAGCAAAACGGCTGCAGTTAATGGCCTCTCATCTGAACGTCGGGGAGGAAGGAAGCCAGAGGAGGAGTTGAGAAGGGAGGAAGGAAGTGTAGGGGAGGAGGAGAGATTAAATAAGAGAGAAAAGAGGCAGGGAAGAGGGGAGGCCCATCCTGCCTGCACCACAGTATCCACCCAGTTCAGAGGCTCCAGAACACAGTGTACAGCACTGACTCTCACACAGGCCAGAGATCAGTGTGTGCTGGCAGTCTGCATTACCAGCACCAGTCTGATGTTATTACAATAGTAATCCACTTGTCAAAACAATATCAGCCCGGCGTCTGCAGCACCCTTATTCCTTCAGCAGGCTGAATAATTTGCATTGCAAGCCAGCCGTCCCGTCGCTTTTTTTCTGCTGTGGTGAGGAAAGAGGCCATCGAGTTTATTTAAATCAAGTGAAAGTGACTGTTCAAAGAAGACCATTGCACTACAGCGTTCAAACATCTGTATTGGTTACTGCCTATTTACTATGGCTGCACAATGTGGTAAAAAAAATCATATTGAAATTATTGTATTATTTTAATATTCTTTTTTGCAATTTTTTTTGACAGTTATTGCAATATGATTCACGATTGGTAGAAATCATTATTTCTGCACCACGATTTTCGTTTTCACTATGACATTTGTTGGGGTCTGTACCAAACAAACGTTTTCACAAGATTTGTAGGCGAGGGAATCTCTGCAGCGGCACAGTACTTCATTATAATGCTATTGTTTCACACATTTAACCAATATGGATATTGCACTTGGTCATGTTGTGATTTTTATCATATATTATTGATCATAATTGTGCAACCCTGCTATTTACTGAAAGTAGTTCATTAGACAAAAAAGACCTGAACATGGATCAAATATATGCATGTGCACAAATTAGGTTAAAGCAGTGTTATGCATTCTTTTACTGCACATGTAA